GATACCCTGAAAGTGAATCTTGGGCAGTATATTGGGTCTTGCCCTAACATTCTATCCAAGAGTAAGCCTCCTTAGAGAGTGTTGTGGGTGCCTAGGTTGAGGAATGGGATTAGGAGGAGAGTTGAAAGAGAAGAGAGGCAACGAAGAAAGAGAAGTGTGGAGAAGAGAAGAGAAGAGAAGAGAGAAGAAGAAAATTCGTGACCTTTCGGCATCGCCTCTCCTAAGAGATATTACTGGAGACTTAAGAAAAGGCACTACGCACTAAGCCTAGATGGTCGGAAACGAATCTTGAATGATATACTTGGTCTTACCCTGACGTTCTATCCAAGAGTAAGCCTCCTCAGAAATGAGAGAAGTGAAACAGGGAAAGAAGAGAGAAAAGAAAGAGAAAGGAAAGAGAAAGGATAGGTGAGTAAAGAGAGCAAGAGAAGAAGAAGAGAGTAAGAAGACAGTACCCCGGAAGCGAATGTTGGGTGATATGTCAGGTCTTACCCTGACGCTCCACCCAAGAGTAAGACTCCTTAGGGTAAAAGAAGATAGAAGAGGGAGAAGAAGAAAATAAGAAGAAAGAACCCCAGAGGCGAATCTTGAGAAATATGTCAGGTCTTACCTTGACGGTCTACCCAAGAGTAAGACTCCTTAAGGTGAAAGGAAATAGAAGAGGGAGAAGAAGAGAATAAGAAGAAAGTACCTCGGAGGTGAATCTTGGGAGTTATGCTAGGTCTTACCCTAACTATCTCCCCATGAGTAAGACTCATGTAGATGCCCCCTCGAAATTGTGGTCAAGGGATTCTAAATCCAAAGGATCACATAAAACCTAATAGACCATATGTAACTTAAAACCAATATAATTATCCCAAACTCTCCCAAAACATAACCTAAGTCGAAGTAGACCCCGAGAGTTTTCCAACGGTCTAAGAATCACCCAAATCGCACCTACAGTTAAAATTTTTTACAAAATGACAAATAGGTCCTTGCTTAATGGGCCTAAGGATTTAATCTGTGGAGACCCCAAAACCTTAGAAAACTAAGGAAAATCCCTTTGAAACCCTAAAAAAATCCTAGGTACTTCCTACTTAAAATTCTTAAGATTTTCCCATTGCCTTAGGAATTCTAGATCTAGGTCAAAGAACTTTAGATCTACCAATTCCAACAAGCATAGGCATCCAATAGGAGATGGTGGCGAAAATCAAAAGAGAGACTTGGTCCAAGCCCGAAACTCCGAGTTCCGGGTTCGCATAGTTAAATAGCCTTTCTTTATTTGATTTTAGTTACTTTTAGTCTTTAATTTAGTTTTATTTCTTGTATTTTATATTATTTCATAGTTTGTAAATTTTTAAAAGAGTTTTTAAAGCAATATACACATATCTGGAAGTTGGCATTACAGTGAACCCAAGAAAGAATCAAATCTGAATAGATCTATACCATGCTTGTGCCCATAATTCAAGCAACCCCATTTCTCTTCCTTTTTCAAATTTAACTCATGTTTGTTAAGATTTGAGTAGATCTCATCCCAAATATCGAGGCGGAACATAGCGTAAATAGTTCCACATCAATGGAACAACTTTTATGGTTACTCTCGTAATCCCTATTGTCCAACGAACCTATGCTTGCTTTTCAAGTAATATTGTTCTAGCATTGTGCTTCTCGTCATATGATCTCCAATGGTTCTATTTGTACTGACTAAAAATATTATTTTAATATTATTTGTACTGTTGATGGTAGCACTATGGAAGTTTCTAAGGTGGGCTCAATTATTACATCCTTTAATGTTTCTGATATATCAAATGTTTCTAGTGTTAATCATGTTCCCTCCTTCGCCCTGACTCAACTTTCTGCTGGACAAATTACGAGTTCCAATTGTAATGTTATTGTCACTCCCCTTGGATGTCATATGTGGGATGGACAATTAATGAAATTGATTGGGATTGGGCATAAAGTTGGTGAAATCCACTTTCCGGACCATCATCATTTAAAAACTCCCACTGAAATTTTTGCCTATGCCATAATGCTTGATAAAGGACCTTGGCATCAACATTTGGGTCTTATTTCTACCTCTCAATTAGAAAATTTTTTTTGTAGTGTTATTGACTCTATTTCTTCTAAAACTCTATCTACTGTTAAAAATTGTGAGTCATACAAACTCACTAAAATGCATGTATTACCATTAACTGCCACAATTTAATTCATGCTTCTATGTTTAATCTAGTGCATACTGATGTATGGGACCAACTCCTCTCGCATCAAAGAGGGGGTCATGGTATTATGTCATTTTTATTGATGATCACATTAGATATACTTGGGTTTTCTTTACGAATGACCGCATTGAACTATATGACATCTTTCTCTAGTTATATTCATAAATTAAAACTTAGTTTTCTACAAACATCAAGGCCTTATGATCAGATTTTGGTGGGGACTCAATTAGTGGGTTGTTTTAAAAATGTCTTTCAAATAAAAATATTCAGTATAAAAAATCTTATCAATATAATTCTAAACAAAATAGCATTGCTAAACACAAAGATAGCCACATCTTCGAAATTGTACGAGCTCTTCTCTTGTCTGCTTCGATTCCAAAAGTTTTTGGATTGAAACTATTCGCATAGCTATTTATCCGATTAATATTATGTCTTCTACTAGCTTGTGTAGATGTTCCCCTTTTTAACGACTGTTCACTCAACCCCCAAACTATTATATTTTTCGTGTTTATGGCTGTACTTACTTTGTTTAGTTGCCAGTGTCTAGAAGGGATAAATTGTTAGCTAAATAAATTAAATATTGCTTCTTGATTTAGCATGACCATGAAAATGGATACAAATTGTAGGGGCCCATGACTAAGAACTTTTGGTATCCTAACATGTAGTATTTCTAAGCATATTTCTTTTCATTTCCCTCCACCTACTGTCTAATGTTTGCCCCTTTTCTTGTTCCTTTCTTTGATGATATTTCTTTTGTATCTGTAGCCTCGCATGCCTCCTAAAGATGGTCTGGTTGTAGAACACTCAACTTCTACTAATGAACTAATTCAAGGACCTGCACTTGCTACTCCTATACATATGCCTTCTGTCCTCTGCAGTACTCGTGTATTTGTTTTACCTGCTCGTTTTGTTGATTATGAAATCATTTTAGCTAATCCTTGAGTCTTTCTTGCTTCTGTTCATTCTTACTCTAAGTCGCAGTTAAGAGGAAGCTACTAAACAACCTAAGTGGCAACATGCTATGGTAGAAGAATTGATTGCCTTTGACAAAATGCATGCTTGGATCTTGTTACAATTCCCAAAGATAAAAGCATCATTGGTTGTAGATATGTGTACAAAATCAAACTAAAGCTAATGGCAACATCGAGTGCTATAAGGCAAGAATTGTGACTAAATGTTATAATCAACAATTTGGGATTGATTTTGCCGAAACATTTGCTCTTGTTGCCGCATGAGTACAGTTGGCACACTGATTTGTTGTTTGCCAATGGCCACTCTATCAACTCGATGTCAAAAGAGAATTTCTTAATGGCGATATTGTAGAAGAAGTTTATATGAAGTTATCTCTTAGGATTTCCAATCCCGACAATAGAGTTTGTCGACTACGGTTGACACACTATAGGTTAAACATGCTCTTCATGCTTGGTTTGAAAAACTTCAGCCTACTATTATCTCTACAAGTTTTCTACAAAGCCATATGACCCTGCCATGTTTATCTCAATTACACCCAGACGATGCGCTATTATACTACTCTATGTTGATGATATAGTTATTTTTTGTGATGATGATGCCACCATTCATCTAATAAAAAGCAACTTAGCCAACTCTTCAAGACGAAAGATTTGGGATTCTTAAAATTTGGTTTTTGGCCTTGAAGTTGTTTATTCTCCTTGTAGATATTTGCTTTCTTTGCTCTAGTATGCCACATATATTATTTCCCGAGTTCGTCTGGCCGATGATACAAAGTACATTGACACACCTACTGAGCTTAATGTCGAACTTCGTTCTACAAATGGTGAGCTAGTTCCTAATCCCACATTTTATTGGCAACTTGTTGGAGATTGATTTATTTGACCATCCCCCGGCCAAACATTGCCTATGTTGTTCATCTTGTCAGTCAATTCTTGAGTGTCCTCCTCGATCTATTCTCTTAGAAGCTATTTCATGTATAATTCATTACAATCGAGACACAGTTGATCATACCATGTTGTTCACTTCGTCTTCCCGTCTTGAACTTTGTGCTTATATTGACTTTGATTTTATGGGTGCTACTACTATTCAAAAGTCTACTATAGGCTTTTGTACTTTTCTTGGTGACTCTCTTCTTCTTAGAAGAGAAAGAAACAAAAGCATATTGCTCAATCCACAGCTAAAGCTGAGAATCGGGCGATGGCTCAAACAACTACCAATATTGTTAGGCTTTGCTAGTTATTAATTTACTTGGATGTGGAATTTTATGCTTCCACTCTTTTATATTGTGATAACAAAAGTGCAATTTATATTACTAAGAACTCGAAGTTTTATGAGCACATCAAGCATATTGAAGTCGATTGTCAATTAGTTTGACATGAATATTCAGCTGGGATAATCTCTTTTCCATACATTTCATCTTCCCCCAAGCATGCTGGCTTCTTACGAAATCCCATAATACTCCTCATTTTTCAAGCCTTGTTCCAAACTCTCGATGGTTCACTTTTGACCATCTCAAGTTTGCTGGGGAGTGTGAAATTATTTATATTTTGTGTATATTTTCGTTCCTTTCTTTACTAGATAGGATGATCATGCAGGTTGTATTAGGATATTTTCTTTTCTTTCTTTTTTCTTGTATGGCACGCAGGCTATGTAATGTAACCAAGTTTAATACAAAACAAAATTTCTCACAGCAGTAAATGGGGCTTGGGCCTATGTTTCTTTTCTTTGCTAAATCGCTATTGAAGGTTGTTTCTTTAAAGATGCATAAACTATTCTATAATAAAGGATTGTACAACCTTTTAGTTTTACGTTCTGTTTCCAGATCATACTAGCATTGAAGCTTATTGTTACATGACAAAAACCCGATCCCCCAAATTTTATGTAGGACGAACCATTGCTCCCCTTGATGGGCATAGAGCTGACTGAAGCCATCACCGTTGATGGTTGATGATCGAATGGTGGCGATTGGATCTTCCTGAATCTTGTAGGACCAGTTCGGATCGCTCCCGATATCTAATCATGATACACTTGACATCCTAATGGTTTTCACCGGGAGTACATCCATTCATGACTAAGAATAATAGAAAGAAAAGGCATTCATGTTTTATTAGCTTGCAGTTCGGAATCTAAACTCCACTTAACGTACTGATCATGTACCCCATGGAAATGGCTTGCCAACTCCTGATCGAACAACAAAATACTCTAAATCTTGATGTGTGCTTCACTATGGGTGAGAGCTACCTCATTCAAAGTTCTCTTGGAGATGTTTGCAATGAAGCTGGGGATGTCTTTAAGATTCCGAGTGTTGAATTCTGGATAAGGCAAAGAAGTAGGTGTATTTTCATCATTAGTGACCAGTGATCAAAAACTCGGTCGACTTACTCAAACTGAGCTCTCTGCTAAGCAGATTACACGGGTGCAACTTGGGCCATTTTGAAAAAGCTAAAAAGATCATAAAATTTATATAAAAATATAGAATCAATTTATACAAATTATAAGTATAATTTGGTTTCTTTTACTACGATATTGTGGGTTTCTCTTATCATTTGCCTTGTTTTCATATTTTCCTCTTTTTCTTGATTGAAATTTCTCCAACCAGAAAACGGTTTTCTCTAAATCCACGTTATATTTTAAAGAGTTTTTTGTGGACTGTTTATGTTATCTTTGGTTTTGTTTCACTTTTAGGATTTTATTTTATTTTTAAACAATTTTTTAATTGTTTTTTTAAGGGTCTTTTGGGCCCTTCACAGTACTCATCAAGTTCAATTAAACTCAGCCGAGTTACTTGGCTCTTGCCAGAGCCGAGTCCGAGGCCCAAGCCGAATTTAAAGACATTGTCTGCAACATTTATGTCGATTGTATGATAGTGCTTTGAGAGAGGATGCTACTAGACACAATAGTTGTGCACTACATTGCGGAGGCGATCACCACCGGTTCCACTATTCCAACGGTGGAGGTTAACCATACTAAGCTGACTCTGCATCAAGGAATTATACTTAATCCCGACTGTCCATCACCAGGATCAGGCAATTCGTATGGTTGTGATGCACCATACATCCACATATCGAATTGCTTATGTAAAATTTTCTTTTATGTTGCTAGTTGATTCTTACAAAATAAGGCTATGAAATTAATAGACTAAAATTTGTCACCGAGACTTCTTGCTTGCCTCTTTCTCACCTAATCTAGCAGCCCCATCTTTTGGTTGTTAGATGACTTTTTCCAAAACACCACAAAATAAGAATTCTAGCTGATTTGTTTGGGTCCTTGAAAATTAATTTCCAAGGTATTCGTCCAGGAACTATCCCATCTCTAATAAATTTCTATGATTGACGCCGAAATTAGGGGAGAAATCTTCCTGCCATCACCCCTTTTTACCCTACTTTTCCAAAGGAAAAAAAAAAAGAATCTTCTGAATAAATAGGTGGAATTTGTTTTTTGAAAATATATATTTTCACCCCTAATCATCTCTCTCTTACACAGACACAATCCTCAATCATCACTCTCCTTGGAATTTTCATGAAAGTTTTTTTCTAGGTAGTGAAACAAACCCTACCACAAGACTTTGAGTCAGAACATTGATCTAAAACATATCTCACCAACATGTCACCAAAGTTTAACAAACCCAACCAGCAATATATTTTCCAAGTATATACGTATTTGTATAATTGTAGTACAAGAAAGAAAAAGAAAAAAAAAAAAAGGAAGAGCCATTCACACACCACCAAAGGATAGTTGTATCGATTTCAAATACCGTAACGGATTTCGGTGTACTTGGATTTGATCCATTTGAAGCTGCTTCTCAAGGAGGACTTGAACTTGCCTTCCGCTGCGAACACCTTGTATGATGCTACTCTCTTCTTCCTCTTGAGTTCTGGATCACTTGAGGTTGCAAACCCTTTATTGCTCGGGCCGTTGAAACTGTACGAATTCGATCGATCTTCGCTACCAAAAACCCCACCTGATAGAGAAGATGAATACTCCGGAAATGATCTACTCTTCTCCATGAGAAAGAGAGAGAAAAAGAGAGAGAAAGAGAGGATTCAATGGGTGTTCCTAGGTGGGGAGGATATAAGGGCTCAATGGGTCATTTCACAGTACATCTATCGAAAAAGATACAAAAGAAAGATGGTGGGAAGATAATGGGAGCTAGGGTTGGATTTAACCTAAGGAAAAATATAAAAGGGAGGTGGAAGGAAGATTCATGATGCACACCCAATGTAATGTTGGTGGGATGCGTTATGGGTCTTAGTCCTTATGGCTTTTTGGTGGTTTCCCTTTGGCTATAAATTGTAGATGACACGATTGGATTGGATTGGATTCGATGGAAGTCCTTCGAAACAACCTAAATCAAAATAGAAACAAAATTGGTGGGTAGACGATCCACATCTACGAAGCCCTTCAAAAATACATGATTACCAACCTTTTTAATTTTCTATTAGTATTTCGTTGGTTTTCTTTATTATTTGACCCAGATCGGTATTCGCCAAATCCGGATTTTGAACCACCAGATGGTCTATGAAAATAAAGTTTTTTTTTTTTTCTTTTATATGTGGGTTGGCTTCACGTGGCAATGGGCCCAAAGAAAGAATTTCCGAACAGCACTAGGAGTGGCGTGGGGCTAGAGGGAAAGTGGAGTTGTGTGTGGCCTACTTTTGCTTTTCCTTGTCGAACGCCTACCAAGCTTGATTTGACAACCCCTTTTGCAATTGCATCCTTGGGTCCAGCCATGTCTAACTAAAGTAGGTGCCCATCATGTTGATGCCCATCCCTTTCTTCACATCCAATGATTCTTTAACTTTGGCATTCTTCTGCAATCCTCCTGCAATTCAGCCCCTCTCATTCCCATGATATTTCTCTCTCTAGTACCACTGTTCTCATCCTCTCTCTTTGCGGCTAATGTCCTAACCTTCGATCTACGACGCTGAGCTGCCTGTTCGCTAACCACCGGTGTATGGGTCTAGGGCTCTCTCCATTCTCAAACCACCATTATTGGTTCTCTCTCTCTCCATCAAAATGACGAAGCTAAGAGGCTGAACCTCATCTTTCTGTCCGTGCATAGAAAACACAAGTTTTATGGGTCCCCAACATTGATCGTAACATTCTTCCAACTTTTGAGTTCCAACTATCGGCGTCTAACATTTTTAGAACCTCACATAAGATTAAGGCAGGTTAAAAGATAGAATGAGCTGTGAATGGCAGTTTTGATGTAGTGTTAGTAAACAATCTTAAAACATTGTGGCATGGGCCGTCAGCCCGGCCTTAAAACATTTGGGCTGACATGGACGGTCAGCCCATCCAAAACATTAGGGCTGACATAGGCGGTCAGCCCAGCCTTAAAAAAACGTAGCGCCTATGCTTCGTCAGCCCGGTTAGCCAATTCTCTAATACAACAATATCAATTCTCTAATAAAACAATTCCAATTCTCAACTACAACCGTCCGATTCAATATCAATTCTCTAATAAAACAATTCCAATTCTCAACTACAACCGTCCGATTCTCCACTGTATGTACCAGTCCCGTCCCTCTCATCCTCTAATAAATCCGGTCCCTCTCATTCTGTAATAAAACCGGCATAACAGACCTGTTCAGACCGGTACCAGTCCCTCTCAATATGCATGTTTATCTCTTATTTTATTTTAATTTCCTCCAAGTAATAGTTTTTCCGACCTCATGGAATGGACGACATATCGTATTGGGAGGGGTCCACGGACACCAACTTGCTAATGGTACGTTGTATGAGGTAAGAAGAGGGCATTTTATAAGGTGTGAGGCCCCAATCTCTTGCCTGACTTTTCAATGTGGGATAGATCGAAACGTTCCCGCAAAGAAGAAGATAAAAAAACGATGCGAGAAGAGCCCCATTTTCATGCAAAGAACTCCAAACGGCCCCTCAATATCTCTCTCTATAATCGTTGTAGAAAGTGCAAAACCATTTTTTTCCCTCTTTCAAACTCCTAACCTCCCTCCAATCTCTCTGATACGTACCTGCAAATCTCTCTCTCTCTCTTCTTTCCGCCAAAACTCACCTATCCCTACACCACGAACGCTCAAAGTCTCTCTCTTCCCCCCCCCCCCCTCAAAAAAAAAGAAAGAATAAAAAGTTTTACCAATCCACACCCATAAACATTCAAAGTCTCTCTCTATATACATAAGCTTTGTCTACGGTTAACCACCCCTCAAAATACAAAGGTTAAAGTTAAAAGTGGTTGTGATGGGTGTATTTATCAAAAATTACTGTTTATTTAAAAAATTATTTTTATAGATAATTTAACCTTTAAGCAAGGGCAAATTTGAAGTTTTTACAAAAGGGCAATGGCATTTTGGAAGTTAGTGTCTTAGAATTTTATTTGTAAGGTGCTTTTATCTTTTAGTAAAATTTTCTACTTTACCTTTTATGAAGATGACAAAGTACTCATTGTCGTGTAGTAATATTTACAAAATTGCGATTACTTAATGATAAAGATAGCACAAAAAATAATTTTTTTTAAAAAATGAACTATAAAATTAGTAAATCCACCCTTCACAACTCTCTCTATCTTTAACCTTCATAATATGAAGGGGTTGTAAAGTTTAGGTTATCATATATATATATATATATATATATATATATATATATATATATATATATACTGTGTAGTATATGTACGTACGTAACGAAGAAGTAATACTAACTAAACGTAAAAAGGTTAAAACTTTAAAACTTTAAAAACTTAAACTAACTAACTAAA